CGCTTAAATTTTCGAATATAGAGAGTTATCGTTATTTGAGGACTATACGAAGTTGTAGACCTGTATACGCAAATTTTTATCACAGGTTGTAGTACCCATTACGAACTTTAAATACCTAATTTGAAACCATTCCGGTAAAAAATGTCGCTAAAATCATCCAATAGCGAATATCGGGGTGTACCGTTGTATGGCGGCTATACGAAGACGTGAAAGAATTTTAAAGACGAAACTTGAAACCATTCCGTCAAATAATGTTGCTAAAATCATCCAAATAGCGATAATTGGTGGGTACGGTTGTAGGGGGGCTATACGATATCGTGGACCCATATAGACAATTCTCTTCTAGGGGTACTTACAAGGAACTTCTTGTGAGAATTTTCAGACAATTCCATTGGAAAATGTGGCTAAAATCATCAAAATACCGAATATCAGGAGGTTCCGTTTTATGGGGACTATATGGAGGGCTAGAACTACGCTAGTTTTTTTTTTTCATAGGCTGTACTACCCATAACTAATTTTTAATACGAAATTTGAAACAATTCCGGTAAAAATGTCGCTAAAATCATCCAAATAGCGAATATCGGGGGATACCGTTTTATGGGGGCTATACGATACGGTCCTACAAACAAAATTTTCTTCCAGGTGGTAAAGTACTTAGAAGGGACTTCCTGTGTGGATTTTCAGACAATTCCATCATCAAAATACCGAATATCGGGGGGTATCGTTTTATGGGGGCTGCACGACATCGTGGACCGATATAACCCATCTTCGTACTTGACCTGCCTGCAGAAAAAAAAAACGGATTTGTGCTAAATTTTAGCTTCCTATCATAATTAGTTTTGACTTTAGCGTGATTACAACAAACGGACAAACGGACGGACGGACAGACAGGGCTAAATCATCTTAGAATTTTACGCTGATCAAGAATATAAACACTTTGTGAGACCTAAAATTATTATTTCGATGAGTTACCAACGGAATGACGAATTTAATATACCCTCCATACTATGTATGGTGGAGGGTATAAAAATCGTGTTGTTTTTCTCATTTCCCTAGAGAAAATAATTTTATATTTTCCTCATTTGATAATTTATTTTTCCTATTCTGTTTCCACCCACTGTGCATGCCTTCTCCATTCAGTCTATTTGTCTATTCGAGTACAGCCATTGACAAAACTGCAACGTTTGTGTCTACTCGCGTCTATTGTTTGCCATTGTTCTTGAGCTTTATTTTAACAGAACTCAACTAAAATGAAAACAAAAACAAAAACTTTAACAAAGAATTAGCCTAAGGGGTATAAGTCTAAATAAAAAAAAAGAGAGAAAGAAAGGAAACAAAATGAAAAGATGTATGTGCATAAAAATAGGATAAGAATGTGATTTAAAAACATGCATTCTTAGCAAAGAAAAATCGTATGGGGTTTAAAGCTGAATTTAATTGCCCTGAATGCAAACCGTTATTTTTTAAAATAAAAGTGTTTCCCATTATCTTTGTTTTAGGTTTTTCTATGTGTGTAATTTTCATAGCATATGAAGTGAAATTTTAAAGACAAAGTAGATAAATTGTATTTAAATGAAAGTCCTTCGTATGAAAAGGATTGCCCTTGTGGATAGATTTAATATTACGGTTATGAAATGATTACCCTTTCCTTAGGTTCAAACTTATAAGAGTATATTGGATACAAATACTCCCACTGATTCAATGTTATATGAAAAGTATGATTTAAATTAAAAAATCCTACTGAAAAGTTTCTCATTTGAGTACCACTCCACTTCCACACTCCATCCATTTGCTCATACCACCCTAATGTTAGCAATAAGTATGTATTTGCGCGTATAAGAGTTTTTAAGTCACGTTAGACAATGGTTTGATGATGGAGATAAAATTCTGTAGCATTCTTTAAGTTCTCTCAGTTTAACATAAATAGCAGAAAATACAAACAATTCTATTGAGAATGCGGTTGTTTGGGGGATACATATTTTCTCCCACAACTGAGTAAATAGATACGAGAGAGAGACCATGCCAGCCTTGCTCACAATATATGCATTACTACTAGCAATTTACTAGTGGTAAGAGACTCTCTCGCCCTGTCAAATCTATGGCAAATGATAATCAAGAGAGTATACGTGTGCTTTGTTTATATTTTTTCGTTCGAGGCTCCTCATAGCTAGACTATGCCATTCTCTTCACATGTACATGACAAGAGCCCACTCCACGTTAGCTTTTTATTAAAATGTAAACTTTACACGTTTTAACAGTGGTGACAATTTTCGAATGGAAAAAAACACCATTAACTTTATGAGACAGAAAGACTTTAATTCTGAGACATGGAGAAATGTATTTTCTTAATCAAAATAACTGTGATAATTTTAATTCACTTCCTATTTTTGTATACCCTCCACCATAACTTTTGGTAACTCCTTGAAATAAACATGTTAGATCCGACATATTGTTGATTAGCAGAAAAATTGAAAAATACAAAATATTTGACGTATACCTTTAAGGGTAGTAAAATATAACAGATTCTATGCTGATAGAAATATTCAGATGTGCCATGTCTAAATGGAATCGGATATTAATTTCGCGTTTTATGTGCTTAATGTATATTCAAAAATTCGACGTTTTGTGGGAGAGGTACGTGAAGGAGTGGACTGATATATTCCATCTTAACACCAGATCTTGGGTTTATAAAAATATTGGGATGTGTGGAATTTAAAGACAATTGGATTCTAACATCACGTTTTATTAGAGTTATAATTATTAAAAATTGTTACTCTTTGTCTGGAAGGCACTTGATGGAGTGGACCGATATTATCAATTTTTACACCTGACCTAGAACTGAGGCAAATCTTAGGATTTGCAAAGTTGGAGCAAAATCGGATTATTGTTTTTCTTTCTGTGCAGAAAATATTTTTTTTTTTTGGAAAATTTCGACATTTTGTGGGGGAAGTACCAGAAGAAGTATTCCACCTTGGCACCAGACCTTGGGTTAAAAAAATTATTGGGATGTGTGGAACTTGAAGACAATCGGACTCTTACATCACAATTTATAAGAGTTGTAATTATTCATAATTTTGACCCTTTGTGGGGGAGGTACTTGATGAGGTGGAACGATGTTGTCGCAAATATTAGCATTTTCAAAGTTGGGGAAAAATCGGATTTTCGTTTCTATTTCTGTGCAAAAACTATTTTTTTGAAAATTTAGACCTTTTGTGGGGGAGGTACCAGAAGGAGGGGACCGATATATTCCATATTAACACAAGACCTTGGGTTGATAAAAAATGTTGGGATGTGTGAAATTTGAAGATAATCGGACTCTTATTGTATATATTCAAAATTTTGACCCTTTGTGAGGGAGGTACTTTTTAAGGTGGACCGATACTGTCCATTTTCGCACCCGACGTAGAACTGATGCAAATATTAGGATTTGCAAAGTTGGAGCTAAAACGGATTATACTCTCTCTTTCTGTGTAGTAAACTATTTTCTTTGAAAATATTGACATTTTGTGGGAAGGTACCAGAAGGTGTAGACCGATATTGCCCATATCCGATGTCGATCCTTAATAATATTACGATGTACCAAGTTTGAATCAAATCGGATACTCCCTTCGAGAGTTATCGTGAGCACCAGCCAGCCAGACGGACGGACGTACATCGACTCCAAATGCCCTGAAACGGATTTGGTCCAAAAAGACCTAGGGTCTTAAACCGTTATTTCGATGATTTATACCCTCTCTGGTCATATGGCTGAGGTATAATTATCGAGTCTCCAACACCAACTTTGAAACAATTTCGAGGAAATCTCTTGCTATGACTTTTAAAGTACATAATATCGGTTTGTAACGTTAAGTGGAATCCGTGGACCAATATGGACAAAGGTTTGACAACGCTCGTAAAATCTATCATGAACAAAGAATTCAGAATTTTAAACAAATCCCCAAAAAATGTGGCAAAAATCGTAAAAATACTGAATATCTGGTAGTACCGTTATATGGTCACTATACGAAAACGTATACCTACAATTACAACGTTCCGCCACCAGATGTAGAATCTGATACTAATTCCTAATACCAAATTTGGAATTATTCCGTGAAAAAAATTGGCTGATATCATCATTATATATGGGGGCTTTTGTAAAACGCGGACCTATACAATCAATATTGAAAAACATTATAATCTCTAAGCATCAAATTTCGAACAATTCCGTGAAAAACTGTTGTTGAAATTATGAAGATACCGAATATCGTATCGTAATATGGGGGCAATACAAAAACGTGGATCTCCAAGACAGTGTGTAGGATTTTTTAGAGAGACCTAACCCGAACTATTGGAACGAATCTTACATTTTAAGGTGGACTTTTTGCTGATGAAGTAGAAGGCACTTGCTAGTATATTTAAATAAATGTTACCGAAATACGTCGAACTTACACGTTTTCGAAGTTGGTATTGCTAGCAACAAATTGTGTATATTTTAAGTTCCATTTTTTAACATCATGCCGTAAAATGAAAAAAAGGAAATCAACAATAAACACTTCAAATTGGGGATAGTTTTGGTCGAAGAAAAAACCTGGCCTCATATAACTTTTTATACATACTTGATTTTTTTTTTTAGAATTTACCCAGCCTTATATAGCAAAGTATTTTTCTAATATAAAAACCGTTCAATTGGCATCACTGTTTCAACAAAATAACATAACAACAACTCTCCAACAAACATTGGGGCAATAACACTGCTTCCACTGTTTCTTTTACATTTGTTTCCTCTCTTTTTCTATTTCCTCTGTTACAATTCTTAACATTGGAGAATAAACACTTATGTTTGCCATTATTTACCACTGTTAACAATGGCGGCACACCGATACACCAACACAACTGCACATACACAGAGAGAGGGAGAGAGATAGAGAGCTCCAATTCTACGCACTCACAGAGTGCCATGAAACAATGCGGGTAAACAGGAATGAATCTCAATCCAACAGCATAGCCAAGAAACGCGAGCCACGACAGTCTGTTTATGGTGCTCAAACGAGATTGTTGGGAATTTATAGTCATTTTTAGCCAACGAAAGCAAACAAAAAAAAGTAATCAAACGGTGCGCTTCTTGTTTTTTATACTCAAACAAACCAATTAAAAAAGAAAATAGAAAAGAAAACATAAATAAATGTGGAAATTCTTATAAGAATAAAATAGCATCATCAAAATATATATTTCCATTTCGAGTGAATATAAGAGAAAATTTTATACCAAAAAAAAAATTAATTGCATAGAATAGCAAAATATTATTAATTAAAAATAATAACAACAAAAAAACCAACTCGCATTACTTTGATCTCAAATAGAAAAAAGAAAAATACAAAGAAGTTTTGTGGCTTTGAGTTTATTTTTTGAAAAAGGATTACAACCAAAGCTGTTGGAGTAACGTTTCTGCATTTTTGGTGAGATTAATGCCCGTCAGTCTTGCTGTCTGTATTTCACGGTGTGGATAATTAATGAAGTTATTTCACGGTCTTTGAAATCGGTGTTAATTGAAATTTGATTGGAAACAAAGAATAATCGGGTTTCTCTAAACCAAAGCAACATTGGTGGTAATTTTGAAAAAAAAAGAGTTTTTACTTTGCAACATCCATCCATTCTGCATTGGAATTAAAACAAAGGAGACACATTTTTAAAGGTAATATATTTTTTGAATTTTGAACTAAAACATGTATTTAATATTAGTAGCATTTTTATACCCTCCACCATAATATGGAGGGTATATTAAGTTTGTCATTCCGTTTGATAAAATTTTATTCAAATGCATATTTTGTCTGCAGGACTTTTGATGTTGAAAATGGGCCATGTAGGTTCAAGTTTTGGTATAGCCACCATATAACGGTACCTCGCGATATTCGGTATTTTGATTCGGAATTGTTGACATTAACTACCGGAACTGTTTTAAATTTGGTATTTGATGTTCGTGATGGATGTTATAGCCTAAGATAGAAAATTGTCTGTGCAGGTCTACATCTTCGTATAGCCACTATATAACTGTACCTCCCGATATTCGGTATTTTAATGATTTTAGCGACATTATTCACAGGAATTGTTTCAAATTTGGTATTTGAAATTCCTAATGGATACTACAGCCTAAGACAGAAAATTGCCTGTGTAGGTCTACGTCTTCGTATAGCCACCATATAACGGTACCTCCCGATATTCGGTATTTTCATGATTTTAGCGATATTAGTCACAGGAATTGTTTCAAATTTGGTGTTTGAAATTCCTAATAGATACTACAGCCTCCCCGTATACCTCCCGATATTCGGTTTGTTGATGATTTTTGCTACATTATTCCCCGATTTTTTTAAGTTTCACATTTGAATATTGTAATGGCTTATGACAAAAGTTACCTATGCAGGTCCATGTCGTCGTATAGACCCTAATATAACAGCTACATTCGGTATTTTTAAGATTTTAACAAAATTTTTGATGGATTTTATTGTTCTTGAAAATTACCAAATTCGTTCCAAATGTTGGAGGGTATTCAAAATTCAGCCCGGCCGAACTTTTTACTTGTTGGACAATAAGAAGACTCCCTTTGGAGATGACATTTTGATCAATCGGGTTGGGCATATGGAAAATTGATACGTGACAGTGATAAAATTGATATATGACAGTGTGCTCTAGCCTGTATTGGACTTTTCGAAATAAAAGGGATTTTCGTTATGTTTTCTAAACCTCCGTGAGCTGTTAAATATTGGATCTAGTTTTTATATCGCTAAGCTTCATATAGACACTAAGTTTTATTTTTAGAAATATAAAAAAAAAAGTTAAATGAAATCAGTCGCTATTGCCGAAAGCTGCATACCCTCAGCCATTGTTATTCAAACTGTTGACCCTTTATAGGAGATGTTCCGTAGAAGTGGGCCAATATTTTCCATTTCCTATCTGATATAAGTCTAATAAAAATATTAAAACGTATCAGATTTGGAAATTATATCAGAGTTCCGAAGAAGTTGGAAAATATTTTCCAACTCATATCTGATATAAGTCTAACAAAAATATTAAAACGTATCAGATTTGGATTTTATATTGACTACTTACTTCATTTTAAATTAGATATTTCATAATATTTCGTAAAGTTCCCATTTTATGAGAATTATAATTATTTAAAATGTTGACCCGTTGTGGGGGAGGTACCAGAAGTAGTCCGATATTGTCCATCTTCACAACACATCTTGTGTTGATAGAAGTATTTGGATATGCCGAGTTTGAAAGTAATCGTATGCTCATTTCGCGTTTTATGAGCTTAATGGTTATTCCAAATTTTGACCCTTTGTTGGGGAGGTACTAGAAGGAGTGGTCCATTCAATCCGTTCTTCATACCAGGCCTTGTCTTAGTGGAAATGTGGGAAAATTGAAGATAATCGAACTTTTAGTTACATTTTTATAAACGTTATAGTTTTTCAAAATGTTGACCCTTTGTGGGGGAGGCACCAGAAGAAATGATCCGATCCCTACCATCTTTGTAGCATATCTTGTGTTGATGGAAATATTGAGATGTATCAAGTCTGAATGGAATCGGGTATTAATTTTGCGTTTTATAAGCTTTATGGTTATTCAAAATTTTGACCCTTTGTGCGGGTACCAGAGGGAGTGGTCCGAATTTTTCCATCATCACACCAGGTCTTGGGTTAATAAAAATAATGTGGTGTGTGTAATCTGAAGACAATTGGACTCTTACTTTACATTTTATGAGAGTTGTAATTATTCCAAATTTTGACCATTTGTGGGGGAGGTACTTGATGGAGTGGACTGATATTGTCCATTTTCACACCTGATTTAGCACAGATACAAATATTAAGATTTGCAAAGTTGGAGCAAAATCGGATTATCCTTTCCCTTTCTGTGCAGTAAATTATTTTCTTTGAAAATGTTGACATTTTGTGGGGGAGGTGCCAGAAGGAATGTCCTTCGAACTCGATCTAAGTTTGACAATAATATTACGATGTACCAAGTTTGGATCCATAGTTATCGTGCGCACCTGAAACAGATTTGGTCCAAAGAGACCTACGGTCTAAAACCGTTATTTCATGATAGCATCAAATTAGAGAATAAATTTAGATTTGTTTGAATTGGTCACCTTTGGCACGAATTATGGCCTTTCAACGGCCTATGAAACCGTCAAACGCTGCCCGAATGTTGCTCTGCGGTATTTTGACCCATTCCCGGCGAAGCGGTTGCTTGAGATGATCAACACTTTGGAATTTTTTAGTGCCAACCTTGCTTTCCAATAGCTTTACCCCGAGTTCATTTTTCAATATTTGCCGAATGGAATATTGCGATATGTCCAGCTCACAAGCCATTTTTCGGTCACTGCGACGCTTCTTTACGTTTTCGAACCATTTCTGCAGATGTTGCTGTTTTCTTCCGTCAAACGCTGCCGGACGAGTAGTTTAGAAATGACAGCAGTCTGAAGTTGGTTGAAGTTTTTTCATCTCACCCTGTATGTGTTGAAAGAGAACACTCTGAGGTACAAAACTTAGAGCTAAACTACAGCTGGAACTTGTGGAAAAATTTAATATTTTTCAGTTTCTGGAAGACAATAACCCTAATTATCTAAAACAAAATATAAGCCCTTCATTCGTTAGTAGCAAAAAGTATGTGTTTTCCGATTTTTGTCTTTAGAGGAACGAAACGCCTACCAATCTCAATATTTTTATCTATTTTTTTGGGATTCCTTAGTTTTAACCTATTTACGATCGATCTCCATATGGAAAAAAAATCGTCGACCTCAAAAATTGTGGTACTGACAAGGAAAATTAAATCCTGAACCTGTAATTTATATATTTTTTTTAGGTTACGAATTTTCGAAACTTCACCTGGAATTCGTAAAATACCTTTACAGAAGGTGATTTATGGAAGTTGTCACAATAAAAAGTTATTCCAATTTTTAAAAAACTAAAATAGGCAAACATCACTCCAAAAGTAAAAAATACCAAAATTCTGATACAATCTACACAAGTCCATCTGCCTATACACCTTTGCAAATTTTTGTATATGGCTGAAATTTTTACAGTCCCCATACGGTTTCACCAATACCATAGTCATGTATTTCGAGTTCTTACCTACCTCTTTCAGAAAAATAGATGTAGGACCGAATTATGGGTATTTTGACTATTTAGTAGAGAGTAGAAAGCTAATTTTATTTAGAGGTGGATAATATAAAAATTTCCGCCGGGTTGAAAGTTATATTGACTTTGTTTTAACAAATTCACAAACCAAAAATACCCTTGGTCACCGTGTCGTTTACATTGCTGACATTCATACATCTCATGTTAATGACAACTTCACGATAATCATCTTCAAGGCACAGAGAAAGAGAGAGAACTCCTACTGTGATCGTTAAGTGGTTGATTAGGTTAACGAGGGCTCATGCAATCGCTTGTCGCGCCGCCTATGATTTTCTCATTTGTCTGGGCAACTATTTATGCCAGTCATTTTGTTGTAATTTCTAAATGCTACGCTTTTGTTGATGTTGTTGTTTTTATTTGGTGACCCCTGAAATGCAGTTTCTTATCAGACCAAACTGCATGCATTCAAATAATGTAAAGGAAAGCAGGAGGTAGGGGCAGGGGAGAGGGAAACCCAGACAATATACTAATTATGTTATTATAGTGGAATAGAAAATTATTTTTGATAAGAAAATCTTAGAAATATATTTTGGGTGACAGAGAAAAAATAATAAATTCGTTAGGGGGTTTGGAGGTGATTACAAGTTCCAGTTCAACTCCGTTTAAATTGGGGTTTTGTGGTAAATGCAAATGTATTTTATGAAGACATTTTCAATAATCTTTCGGGAGAAGACCTAAAATATTTATTTTCAATTTCAAACCCCCTCTTCAATTTTCCCCCGTCTACATGTTCGTAACGAAACCCGTTCCCATTTTTATGTTTCAAATAAACGTTTATGTCACAGATACTTTATATTCAAATAAATATTTATTAAAGAAGTTTGTTTTTTTCTCATATCAAAGAAAAAAACGCTTGACACGGGTATTTTTAGTACCACATCACGAAATGTTTACGACATTTTTGTCCTACTTTAGAGGTGAGTTGTTCTTCGGTTTTTTGCCAAAAATGTAAATACAGAACATCATCGGCCAACAAGAAACAGTGTTGTTAGAAAAAAGTTCTGATCGAAAAAATGAAACAGAACGAAAAAACCCTTGGAGACATAAACAAGTTAATATTCATTGAATTTGTCGTTTGGTTTTTTTTTTTCGATAATGTTCAGGTGTATCTTTTATTTATTAATTAATGATAATTTGTGTGTGTCTGTTTTCTATATTTTTGGGAATAAGATGTTGATTTGGGATTTTTTGTCGGCATAGTAAATTATGTAATGAAAGAGAAACATTAATTTTGATAAAGAATTGGAATTTTTTGTAAAACATGGGTATAATGGTCAACTTGAAATAGTTAAAAAAATCCACGTTTATATGGGACCATGAAAAATATTTTTTAAAAAAAATCCACGTTTATATGGGACCATGAAAAATATTTTTTAAAAAAATCCACGTTTATATGGGACCATGAAAAATATTTTTTAAAAAAATCCACGTTTATATGGGACCGTGAAAAATATTTTTTAAAAAAATCCACGTTTATATGGGACCGTGAAAAATATTT